GTCAACCTGTCAACTCAAAAGAATAAATCATGCTCCTCTTAAAAGTTAGGGACCCGTCGTACTTCGCCGAAATAAGCCGAAGAAAGCCCAGAGAAGATCGAAAAAGCCCAAAAAAGCCCGAGAGAGCCGAAACGCCCCTTCCGTTTTGACGTTAAGGCTTGTGTGTTTATTTCGCAACCGAGTATCTCTCGCCTGGTTTATTAAACATAGGATATGAATTAACCATTGTGAATCCATCGAAACTAAAAATTCTCACTAGTACTGCAGCGCATCCGACAATAAATTTGCTTAAAACCAGTTTTTGTAATAAGTGGTTGTTTCTTCCATCACTAAAAGACTAGTGGATACCTTGACGGTGAGCGGCTGCGTTTAACACTGCTCTGTGTACAATTTCGTTTTCTTAATTTCTTGTATATTCTGCTTGAAATTCCATCCCATAGATTCTTGATTCATTAGCTTTTCTCACTACTCACAGCAAATCTTTCTTTCTCGAGTCTTTATTCTGACACAAATCGAGTTTTCGAATTTTATTGGGTTTGCCTCAATCGATAACCTCACAACACTCATGCCTTCCCGCTCCGGTAGGTCAAATACTCAGACCACTTCTGCCCGTAACTCCAGAAAGACTGTTTCTGCTTCTCAAACTCAAGTTGCTAGAGGTGACTTGGTTGATGGTAGTGCCGATGACGACAATCTTAGCAACCTTTCTGCGACAGAGCTGATACATTCAATTTTGGAGAGGAATTCCGATCCAGTAATTGAAAAGATGCTCCTAGCATTGAAAGCTAAGTTCCCTCCAGATGTCGAGGCCGAGAAAAGAAGCCGAAGCATTGTCTTAGCTGGACTTGAAGAGTCTGAGCCCGATAAGCCACTCTTGGAGCGGAAGGCTGAGCTTGAAAGAGGTGTATCCAAAGTTTTAGAGGCCTTACAGGTAGACTGCTGGCCTACAGAGATCTACCGCATGGGCAAATACGATCGGAATAAACCAAGATTGGTTAAGATCGTCTTCCCCTCCCGGCGTTTCTGGATCCAGGCACTGTCTAACTCTCATCTTCTTCGGAACTCCGACCTACGGAACGTGTTTGTCCGTAGAAGTATGACTTCTTCGGAGCGTACCAAAGAATTTGAGTTAAGACAGGTGGCCAGAGAAAGAAACAAAGGGAAACCTACAAGGGAGTGGGTCGTATATAGAGGCGAGCTCCATCATATTTCAGAGCTCCCTCATCGTCGGGTGCAGGGAAACGCCTAAATGTGCCTGGAACTTCTGGACTTCTCAAATGCTTTCTTTTTAATTCTCGCAGTTTAGTCAACAAAGTACATCTTCTACAGGCATTTCTAGTTACCAATCTACCAGATGTTTTGTGCATTACAGAGACATGGTTTAGTTCAAAAATTCTTGACTCGGAAATTATCGCAAATCTTCCATATTCTTTGTATCGCACTGACAGGAAGCGGGGTAAGGGTGGTGGCGTATGTTGTTTGATCAAGGAAGATTTTGCCGTGGAGAAAGTTTGCGCTGCCAATGATTGTAAGTGGGAAATTCTCTGCCTTAACATCTGGTCCCCATCTTGTCTCTCTCCTTTACGGTTTGTTATTGTATATCGTCCCCCTTCTTCCAACTCTCGCGATGATTCTTCCCTAACGTACGCCATCCAAGATTTGTGTTCTCTTCCATTACCGACTATCGTTTTGGGAGATTTCAACATCGACATTTTGTCTTCTTCTAGCAATAGAAACTGGCTTTCTTTTCTGTATGATTCTGGTCTTCAGCAGAATGTAATCTTTCCAACTAGAGGAGGGGCAGCCATTGATTTGATATTTTCTTCCCATAACGTAATTGAAAACGTAGAGCCTCTCCCACCTTTTGGTTCTTCGGACCATAATGTGGTTGGATTCAACGTTAAATTCATTGTTTGTAAAACTGCTTTTATTCCATATCCAGAGTTTCGTAAGGCAAACTTCTTAGAAATCAGTAAAGCTCTTGAAGGAATCATTTGGAGCAATGTTTTTGAAAAACTACGAATCCGTTGAAGATCTTTACAAGCGTTTCTGCAGGAAACTTTATCTGATATTTTCTCAGCACGTTCATTTCGTTTTTCGCCGTTGCAGATACAGAAATATCCTGCTCACATTCAAAACTTGTTGGAACAAAAGTCTCGACTTTTCTCGCAATTGAATGACCGGCTGCACGATGCTCTATACAAGAAAGTTTGTAAAGATATCAGCCATCATATCAAAAAATTCTTCGCAAATCGGGAGCGACGTCTTTCTAGATACAACTTCAGGGAGCTTTATTGGTTTCTTCGAAGTATCATCAAAGGACAACAAAATATTAGTAACCTAATAGATGAGCAAGGGAAATTGCTTATAAGCGAAAAGGACAAAGCTGAAGCATTGGGGAATTACTTCGCTTGTTTCTTCGAACAATCTCTCAAGCAGTCGACATAATGAAGCCGCTTTCTATGACACTTGTGTTCGCGTAGATTCTTGCTGTCCAAACATATATATAGAACCTTCGAAAGTCTATGACATTTTGAGAAAACTCAAAGCAACAACAACTCTCGCATATGACGGAATCCCACAAATTGTACTACGTAAATGTGCTCATGCCTTGTCATTCCCCTTAACTTTCATATTCAATGCGTCTCTTCTATTCGGAGAAGTACCAAAAGTCTGGAAAGAAGCTCTTGTAACAGCCATACCTAAGAGTGATCACAGTAATGTCCTTTCTAATTTCCGTCCTATCAGCATCACTGCACCTGTTGGAAAAGTTCTTGAGACGCTCATAAAAGAGACTCTGTGTGAATGGTTAGAAAGAAACAACATCTTTCCCTTAGCCCAACACGGCTTTCTTCCTGGGGGATCCACTACTGCTTTGCTCTCAGACTCAGTCTTTGACTGGATCAATGCAATGAATCACGGTAAATCGGTGGATATTGTGTTTTTCGATCTTTCTAAAGCATTCGACAGAGTCTCCCATACCAAGCTGCTCTTTAAACTTGAAAATTATGGTGTGCGTGGTCAACTACTTTCTTGGATAACATCTTACCTACAAAATCGAGGTATGACTATCCGTGTTGGGTCTAGTTTTTCAAGACGCTTCCCTTGCAATAGTGGAGTGCCTCAGGGCGGAATACTGTCGCCCCTCCTTTTTCTCACTTACACTGCAGAACTGCCGTCTTTCTTGAAGACTCACCCTGATATCAAAATCCAAGTTTTTGCAGACGACATAAAGTTATACTTTTGCTATCATGAAACAGAAAAAAACATAGCACACGAGGCAATTTCTCACTCCATAGAGAAGATGGTGCTTTGGTCAAAAGAGTGGGGCCTTCCAGTAAATGCTCTCAAATCGAAGGTCATGCATCTGGGAGACTGTCCACTACATACTTACGTGTGTGACGGGATAGTTCTTGAGCAGTGTAACGTTACTAGGGATCTTGGTGTGGTTGTCGACGATCAACTCAATTTTTCTCTACAGTATGAATCAGTCACTAAGAAAGCTCTGGCCGTTCTTTTTGTTATTCTGAGGAACATTTACAGCAATGATGCAAAACTCTTGGTGCGCTTGTACAAGACGTATGTCTTACCTCTTCTTGAATACGCTTCACCCGTTTGGAACCCTTTTTTGAAAAAGCATATTGAAAAGCTAGAAAATGTCCAAAAAGCATTCACTAGAATTGTCATTTACAGATGCTATCCAAACTCTGATTACCCTCAAGCTTTGCCTGCGTATGGCATGAGACTATCCGCTTTAGGTCTACGTAGTCTGAGGTACAGAAGAATATGCAATGATTTAGTATTCTGCTTTCGCATTATTCGTTTGGAAACCAGACTGAGACCGAGTAAGTTCTGGGTCTTCAGACCTTGCGGAAACCGAACAGGAGGTTTTTCAATGGGTTACCGCAAATTAGGGAACAGGATTTGTTCAAAAACCTTTAACTCTTTCGTTTGCCGCATAGCAAGGTGGCTTAGTCAGCTTCCGAGTGATATAACTTCCTGCAGAAATTCTTTAGAATTTCGCAAAAAGCTGGCCACCATAGATGTTTTGCAGACTTTGGGAATAGTGACTTCTGAACACTAAGATTTACAAGATCTTCGGCAATTTCCGCACAAATTCTCTTGCTTCGAAGGCAATTCGTATGTTTGCTGCATTCTTTTGAGACTTTCGAGCAATTTTCTTCAAAAAAATTGAGCAATCAAAGAAATTCGTGGACTTTCCTTTCACAGGCGGTGTGGTCTTTTTTTGCATATGTAGTGGAGTTGCGGTTGTCCTCGAGCTAGTTGGTCGATGCCCCCGCTTATCACTTCGAGCGACCTTTCGTACGCGGATAAGCGATTGATTCTGTCAACTCTGTATGCTCAGTTTGGAGATTGAGCCATGCGTGTCAAAACAATTTCTAAAAAGATGTCATCTAGTTTTTGAAGGAATTTGATGTTTTTGATTGATTTTTCACATGTTAATAAGTTTTTACAGTATATCAATCTTTCCAAGGGCTTTAGAAAGTTCTCTTTGCTTGGGTAGCCGTTTGAGGAGATCGAAGACTAGTGAGCCCTCTGCCTTGAGATCCCCCTTCTCGCTCGCCCAGGGTCCCTGACGGATTCGTCCGTCTTGGGTTAAGCTGGTCAGCCAGGCCCCGGTAATTTATTACATCCCCATGCGTTCGGGTAAGGGAAAAGGATCTCGGTGGAGGCCCACTCACTTCTTGCAGATGGAGAGCGACCTGATCATCCAGCAGGGGACAATGTGATCCAAGCCCGAGTGTTTTGTGTTCTGTGTTTTGCGTTCTTTTGGTTTCTATTTGGCACACTTTCGTGTATTATAAATAAATAAAATAAATAAATAAAAATTTTTCTGCATTTTCAATCCTTTGGGGAATCACAATAAATGCAGTTTTGCTACACATTCTACTCATGGTCGCATTGAATATGTAAGTTGCCCTATTTGGAGGATAATAAAAGTTTACAAGGTTTTTTTTCACATTGCAACACAGAAGAACAATTCATCGTAGATTCATTATGTATGTATTCCGCTTGTTTCAGTAAGTAAAAACTGTACCCAACGTACACAAGTACTACGGAACAACGAAAAAAGATTTGCAGAGAAGCTCACTATGAAACAATTGGACAATAAATCACAACAGAATCGAATTATCAATGTTATCTCTAATCAGCCTTCTCTTTGTCGTCGTTTGCCAGTAAACATACACCGACGAACACTAAACTCAAACCAAAACACCAAAATATGGAGTGTGATTCGGAAAACAGCAGGTACCCGAGTATACCCTAAAAGGTACAGAGTTTTTAGAAATAGGTTGTATAATAAAATTCACTTCCTAACTCCATACCGTTAGAGCGAAGTTTGTTCCCGTATTTACAGCCATGCATTGCACTGTTGAATCAGCCAGCGATAGAGATTTAGTATACGCCCACCACATGAGGACATTGCTCACTGCAAAAACTACCAGCGATAGAGCAAACTTCTGGAAAAAAAATTAACTTTAAGATCAGGAAGAAAATAGAGAAACTGTGGTCCACATACCTCATATTGTGCGGTCCCAGAATATTCGCCAAAAGCAAATTTTGACGCTATGGCGGCGACGGCACCAGCCGCACCTGCACCCATTGCGTAGGTGAAAGCATCTCGTGACATGCAAGGTACCCAGTTTAGTTGAGAATGACTGTTTTCTAAATAAAATCAATCACGTGGTGATGCTAGAAGCAAAGTCTCGATTTGATGCGAAATTTTACAAGAGATTCAAAATTCAGCCAAATGAAACAAAGCCAAGCAATTTAGATATTGGGTTCGAAAAATGAAGGCAGTGGCATTCAGCTTTATCCCAGCTATCCCCATCTACCAAACCAAAGCTCGGCACGAGGTGGCTTTCCGAAAATGCAAAGAACATGATCCCTCCGACTTTCGTAAAATTTTACGAACCCCTTTGACCCTATCCGCAATATCCGAATTGACCAAAAAACGAAACGTCGACTAAAAACCTAATTTCGGACCCACAAAAATGACATCCCTGCTTTTTGTCCTAAAAACGATATATAGCTTGCTTATAAGCCACCTGTGCCAAGCCCTGTACCAAACTATTCACATTCTTTCCCTACCATGCGTTAGCCACAAAAAATTTGAAGAGATTCTCAGGTTTGAGCTACTTACGGCTCCAATCATTCTCAAAATATTTTCGCACATTTTTGAAATTAGCAACAGTTGGGAAATCACTTCAGCTGCTTACAGTCAAAACGAGTTACTCACATAGAATTAATGATGACAATTTTGAAGAATTTCTTGATCTGTACAAATTGAGGACCATCCCACAACATTCTCACGCATGTTATGTGAGTTTGTTTCAAATTTTATGCGGACTTAACATGTAGAAGACATTCAAAGTCCAAATTCGTAGAAGCAAATGTTACTTATTACGCCACGATTGTAAACTTAGAGCACAAAGTTACAGAAAAATGCTGGGAAGCTGTTTTTTCTCTCAGCGGTTCACAGCAGCAGCGGTCCGACAAATCTCTCTCGCTTGGGGAGGGGGGGGGGGGGGAATGGGAGAGGGGGGAGGGGAGTGCGACAGATTTTTTTCAATGAAAAGGCGAGGTTCCATACTCTCCGAAAATATGATTGTAATCTGATTTCCAAATTTTCCGGGACTATAACCTGAAAATACCAAGGGGTTCTCTACAAAAAAAAATTTATACAGTTAATTTGTAATTATAGAGAATCAACAAAATTCAGATCGTTTGCAAGTAAAAGATTTATTTGCTTCTATAGACCATGTCCAAATTCCGCCACTGGCTCTTAGACATACAATTTTCAAAAATGATCTGCTTTGGCGAATTGACAATGTGTTAAGTTCATTTACCATGAATCTTTTCAAAATCGGTCTTTACATAGAGAATTGTTTCCAATAAGAAAATTTTCGGCAGTGTCATATGTACTTGAGATATTCCAGGATTAACGAGAAAGATTTTTTTGGACAGAGATGGCCAAGCAGTTCTTTAAAACTTCTACTCTGAGAAACCAGTATGCTCTAAAATGTAGTAAGACAGCACGAACTCCTGCTTGTTCCACAGCTAGTAATCTGTTAAACAGTGATATCAACATGAAATTTCACGGAATTTTTTCTCAAAGAGTCCTATAGAAGAATTTAAGAGGCCCGCTCAACTTTTTCTAAGCCAAGAAATAGTATGTTGGAAATCCTTTTTCACATCTGACAATTGATAAGGACTACAATGGCAGTTCATGTGTATGCTGTATTTCATGAGTTCAAAACTTTTCAAAAATTAATCTATGTGCATTTTGTACCACTAGCCCCGAGCAAACATTCTACGGGTCCCCGAAAAATTCTGTATCATAAGATATTACGATAACAAAAAAATCCCGTTTGCTACAGCCCTTATGACAGGCAGACTAGAAAAGTTACATGAAATTGAAGTACATTTGAACACTAAAGAAAAAGGGCTTCCAGACAATATTGGCAGATACGATAAAAGCAGGTCAAAAAGATGAACAAAAAAAACGAGAGCTACTGAAACAACCTAATAGTTAGGGAGGAAAATCAGTTTATTTTTTGTTTGCAGTCAGTGCCAGCCAATCCAATAAAGACAAAAAAAATGTAAGTTTCGTGGAAGTGTGAATATAATGACAGAGGCGCAACTCCTGCATAATGAAAAGCTCAAGGCAGTCCTGACATGATTCGTCGAAACTATTTAAAGATCGAGATTTACATTCTTATCCAAAAGCACCTAATATGACATCCTTGGAGGCAACATTCTCGCAAGATTTTATCTGTACTGCTTGGTTTATTCTCGATTACTGGATTCTCAGCTCATGAGCCAAAGTTGGATAGGCTTCCATGTTTCAAAGCCTGCCTTCAATGCCACAGAGACTATAACCTGCAATATGTTTCACTTTGTACAATAGAGCTTCCACAGCTTGATTCTCTCGTGTAGTTGAGGAAAGAACGAAACCGTACTTGAAGGTAAACAGCGCAGAGGCGACTTTACCAAAACATTCCGCAAGTGCAAAATTTCGCAACTCACTACTTGGGGACAAAGACTTTCGAAAATATCGCAAGTTTCGTATAAATACGAAGCTCACTTTTGGAAGAACGAAGCTTGGTGATTCATTTCCAGCCCTAGCGAAAGAAGATTGCCTGGGCCTTTGACGATTGCTTTTTTCTGTATAACGATATCGTCAACTAAAATCCATTTCTAGGAAGGATACATACGGCCCAAAAACTTCGTCTAAAGCTATGTATGGTTAGCAGAAGCAAAAATGCGAAAATTTCTGTTGAAGGATGGTATAAATGCCAGAAACTTGTTTCCCGCAGCGACAAGCCTATTTGCGGGAATCTGGTGGCGCGCTTTCATTTGAATTTCAACCGCTCGCCGCGAACGACCTATTTTACTTTTCGGTGGGATCGTGTCAATTCCGTTATATATCTTTATTTGGTTTCACGTTATCTTCTATAGCATACAAGAGTTTCGTTTGATATATATCTGGATTTATGCTGAAACGGAGTTAGTTGCGATTCTTTGTGACAAGTCCTGATGTTTCTCCTTTGAACATGCATATACATCTTTTTGTGTCTCTCCGTTCTTATTGCGATTATTTTTACTTTTCTTACCTATATCTTACTCTTATCAGGTATTATTTACTAACACAGTACAGCCATGGTTGCACTTAACCAAGATTCATTCACCGTGACTTCATCGGATGAGGCGAACACCGCGCCAGACGTCGCGAACGAAGAAGTAGAACTTCCGGAGCTGAGCATCGAGCAGTAAGTTTTTTGTTTACAGTTGGAATACGGAAGATCATTTTCGATAATGTTTTCTAAGAGTTGGTGAACTTTTTTGGTATAATTTTCGAGCGTAACATATCGTAGCGCTTTTTTGTGCTCTTTTGGATAAGCAATATCGATTTTGCACTTTAGTGCATTTGAATGTGACCAAAATGCAAAGTTCTGTACCTTTACAATCACGTTCGATGCACAGTTTGTCAGAATTGTTGCACTAAAATGCGATCGAAATTTTTGAATATGAGTAGTTGTTATTGAGCTAACTTTGTAATTTTGCTGACCACTTTCAAGTATGAGTGAACAGTCTCTTCCCAAGCGGGAACTTTTTTTTTACAAGGGTTTGTTTCTGCTGCTTTTTTTTTGAAGAGTATCAGCAAGTCTACGATATATGAAAGCTGAAGCTCGCATTAAATCGCTATCAAAAATTGAAGTTGCCATCATTTGTCTTTCGAGCGTTTCCAAGTTCACTGTTGGGAGTGTTCACTTTTGGCACAGAGCATCACAATCTTTTTCCAGTACATCAAAGTGGATGTGAGTAAACGAAAGTTTTTGCATCAGTAAGTTGTGCATTTCTTGATATGTTATTTCCGTGAATGTTCAACTCAAGCCCAAGAAATTGTAGAAAAATGTCTCGCACTGCTCAACTTTCTTATCTCACCTGAATCTTTTGTTTTCCGAGTTTAAGAGTGTGAAACTCAATCCACCATCTAAATCTCTTTCTTTTTCAGAAAGAAGGAAGCGTTGAAGGATCTGCTTGCCCAAGGCAAACGCGATTATAAAGCCGGTGATTACGAGGCAGCTGCTGACAAACTAAGCACTTGCGCCAATTATGCGTAAGTTTTAGTCATCATCAGCATGAACAGTCAAAACCACTGTCTTATAGTGCTGAAGTGTATGGAGTTTTTGCAAGCGAGTCCTTTGATCCTCATTACTACTATGGACAGTGCCTCATCGAACTGGGCCGTATTGACGCCGATGTTTTGAAAAATGCTCTGACCGATATTCCCGAAAGCGAAGAAGGAGACGAAGAAGTTGAAGGCGAAGAAAAGGAACAGGACAAAGATGAGACCATTGGAAATCCTGACACTCTTACAGGTTGGTCGCGTATGTGAATGTACTATTGAAAATTACAATGTGGTACAAAGTATTGTCAAAAAGTAATCAACTCGGTTAAGTGGGGATTTGATTTCGTTTAGCAACTTCATGAAATTTTTCGAGAGAGTGCCATCAGAAAACTCTGGAAAGTTATTTAAGTGGCTAATATTTTTGACTGAAATAACTTTTGGAAATGAAAAAATTGAAGAACTTTGTGAAAATTTTTTTGGGGCTGCCGTTGTGAACCTTCTCTCAAGGATTTCGGTGTTATAGATTGACAAGAACCTTAGAAAGCATCCAAAAATTCTTCGTACGGTCGCGACCCCGAAAACATTTTCTCTGACCGCCGCTGAAATTTCGAGACATGTCTCTGGGCTAATGATACAAGTTGTTCTCTCAATTTCAAAAAAAAAACTCTCATCAAAACTGAGTCGGCTGCAATTTATTTCGGAGTATGATCTTTGCAGAAGGAGAGCGCGAAGAAATAAGGGAGAAAGTTGAGGAAGCACTTGCAGAAAACGCCGAAGAATTGGAGAAGGCAAAAACTACAGCAGATAATGAGGTGACAACAACAAGCTTGGAAAAAGACGAGGCTAAAGGAGCAGAAGAAAAGCCTGAAACTGGTAGTTTGTTTATTCTTCTTTCTCGGATTAAATACATGTGAGTATTTCAGGGAATGCAGAAGATGAAACTCCGTCGGCATCCGATGATGCCACGGCTGCAGAACCTGAAAAAGCTGTTGAAGCTAAGGGAGATGTTGCGGCTGCAGAACCGGAGAAAGCTGCTGAAGCGAAGGAGACAGCTGAGGCAAAGGAGCCTTCCGGTGAAGCTGCAACAGCTGAGGCAAAGGAGCCTTCCGGTGAAGCTGCAACAGCTGAAATTACTGATGACGGTGCCGAAGCAGTCGCTGAAGCGACAGCAGCAGATGATGCAGCTGAACCCATGGATGCCAAAGATGCCGATGCTGCTGCTGACGAGCCCGCCGAAACTGAGGGTACTGAAGCCGATAAGGAAGATACTGAAGAAGAGCCCAGCAATTTCCAGACGGCTTGGGAAGTTCTTGAGGTAGGTAAAGATTGTTGCTGCTAAATTTCATGTTTTTATACTAAGATTACTTTTAGGTTGCTCGTAACATCTGCGATAAGCAAGAACCTACAAAGGAATGGGAACTGCGCAAAGCTGATGTTCTTTTCGCTTTAGCTGAATGTTCGATCGAAGAAGAAAATTACAAGCAGGTACGCCGGTCAGCTTCTAGTAGGATTACTTTAGTAGGATTACTTTATTCACTATTTCAAATTCTTAATGTTACCTGTTTGATGTTTCTAACCACATCATCGCTTTTTCGTTATAACTTCATTTTCCAGTACCGAGTACGTTCTGTCACTTTGTATTCCTGGAACTCATCGCTTGCTTTATTACGCCCAAGCCACACTTTTTAGGCTCTCGATGATCTCACAAGTGCTCTTCAAATCCAACTTCTGCACCTTTCCGCTGGTGATAGGATCATTGCGCAAACCTACGTGACGTTCGCCCGCGTTTACAAGTTGGACAAAGACTTTGAGCAGGCTTCGGAGTACTACCGAAAGGCAAAGGAGTGCATCGAATTGCGAATTGGTCCGTACTTTTTTGAAATATTTGTGCTCGGCATTAACCCGATCTTTTTAGAATCGCTTGAAAAGAAGTTAGCTGAAATGACTGAGCCAGAAAAGGAAGCAGAGAAGACTGAGATTGAAAAGGAACTGGCTGATCTCAAGGGACTTGTACCAGATATCCAGCTGAAAGTCCAAGATGCTGAAGAAAGTGCTGCAACTCTCAAGCGGGTACGTGCTGAAAAAAAAGAATTACTGTGGCTAATTTATATCTATACTTCATGCTTACTGTTTAAACTTTGTCAATTTGATAGGCTGCGGAAGAGCTGAAAACAGCGTTTGCTGCTACATTGCCTCAGCTGACCACTGTCAATGAAAATGTCCCCGTCAATGATATTTCGAACATGGTAAGAAACCTCTTTTTCTTCTTCCTTTTTGTGTTTGATGTTTATTGTATTTCACGGTCAATGATCATGTGGCCTCCAACATTTATGCGATGCTGATCCTCTTTTTAGATCCGAAAGCCAGCGAAGAGACCTGCTGATGATGAATCAGAGCCAGAGCCAGTGAAGAAAGCGAAAGCTGAAGGTGAAGATGTTGCAGCTGCCGATGCCACAACTGCCTAATTTCATCCGATCATCGGCAAGGATCTCATGTTCATAATTCCACCTCAAACTCTTTCGCATTTACGTAATGCGCATAATGCGAAACTAACCAATCACTACCAACTCTCATTTAATCTCGGTTTTCATGCGTGTATTGTTTAAAATCGGTTGTTGCTGGTATACATTGTCATTTTTACTATGTATAATAAAAAAAATTTTGTTACCAAAGTTGTTGACGCATGGTATAATCAAGCGCGCAGTTCATGATACTTACTATATTTGCTTTGATAAACTTATGCGGTAATGCATACATGTGGCCTCCTGGCCTCAGCAAGTGTCTAGCTAGAATCTGAAAATAAAGTTTCTCTCTTAGACAACGGTCTCTTATTCTGCACTGTACGGGAAATCGCTTCTGGAAAGTTTGAATAAACCAATTTTCGCGAAATATTAGGGGTAAACTGTTACTAAATTTGGGGGAGAAGGGTTAAACGTATTTGAATAATTTCTTGCATAATGAAATTCTGCATCCGTGATAAAGCTAGAAAAAGAAAAAAAGATGCTTATTCCTCATGAGCTCGTCTTCTGAATGAGGAAGCGAGGCATGCAAAAATATGAAAATCACATGTGTCAGGGACTTCTGTTAGTCACCACGTCGTTGTCCACAGGGCGTATCGTCGAATGAGCCAATCGACGAACGCTGATACACAGGAAAACTTAGAAGACGACATGATTCTGACATCGAAACGAAGCATCCCGCTGCCTTCATTCAAAGGGAATCCTGATAAGGTGAGAGTTGGCTCATTGGTACATCTCCAGTTCCATCTCGTTCTTATTTGCTACAACTAATGGATAAAACAAATCTCATTGTTTAGCAGATGATGTAATATCTTTCTTATTTTCGCTTGACAAGGGTAGATGACTTTAGCTTAACTCCTTTCTCACACGTGTAATCTTATATCTCTTTTGATAAACTGAATATGTTAGCCATTTTGCACACAATGTGACGGCTAGTTAACTTTTCTATCGCTTACCTTTTAGTAGGTATCTCATTTTTCCCGCTGCGAATCAAACATCGACCGCGTAGACGCAATGACTGCATTATCTGCGATTAATGAACCATAGTTCATAGCCTATAGACCCATCATGCATAGAGACGACGTTGATGTGAAGTGCGGAGATATCCACGTTTTTGATTATTAGGTATGCAACTAAGTAATCAACTTCTTCCATAACTTTTTTTTTGAATATGGCGCACTCAAAATTTGGCATTGTGCAGAACATGATGCAAGCTACAGATCTCACAGACGTTTGGTTTTCTGTGAAACAGAAAAATCTACGCATTCTTCAACAGCTGGTGAAATCAAGGCACTGGTTCAAAGCAAAAAAGGAAGCCATGCACAACCAAATCAAGTAGCTATCTAAATTTGTGTACAGCTGAATGAGGGAGGAATGGAAGTCCTGGTGTAGTCAAGCTCTGGCGCCCTTGTGATTTCGAAAAGTCGTTGACGTAAACTTACAAGGCTGATACACGTGCTAAATAAGTGCCATTATCATAAGCAGAGCAGCATGTCCTATAGCCAATCTATGCCAATTTTCGTGCAAATTTGCAAGCTAATATTTCCCCATCAGACGGTATACCTACCGTAACCCTCATTGTGATAGGAGAATTTTAGCAAATAGGGGGCATTTGTTGCTCACGTCATAATTAAATAATAGGCCAATTTTATGCAAGAAGATGAGGGGGGACGCCTTTTGGCAGAGGAGGTTGTGGAAGAGCCAAATTGCGCTGTAAACTTGGAGTATAAAATTGATGTAGGTCCTTCATTTTTGGTAATTCGAGTGGAGGCTCTGTTATTTTCATATATTCCTTCAGCGATTTTGATATGCTTAAGAATATATAATCTGGTCTACCAGATCTCTAGAGGTTTTATGCAACTTTTGATGGGCATTTTATTCGATGACTTTCAGTTGTTGTACTGTCAGCAAGCACGATCTGATGGACCATGTGTTTATGCTATAGCCGTGGATCGTGAAGTTACGGTATCTTCAGGAACAGGCAGATTGCTGCTTAGGCACGACGTTTCCTTCGATATTAAACAAGTACGCAATTTATATCGAATTTTTACCATTTTTTCTATTGCATGCCAGCTTCTCACCGCTTACAACTACGCATCTTTCCTAAACTTCTTCAGCTTCTATATGTTGTTTTTCCACCGTCGAAGGGCGAAGATGAGACAAATCGTACGCAAGAATTCTTTTGCCTTGTCGGCAACCGAGACATGCTATTCGTTGCCCTTGACGATTCACATCCTCTCGGCTTTCGGGTTCAGTTTGATGTGAGCAACTAGTCCTTTTCCAATCCGTCTAAAGTAAGATGTACCAAATACAGATTCGTGCCGTGTACACGACAAAATACGGGTTGCTTGTTGAGCGCGATCTATCTACACATAAGACATCTCCAGCAGAAGAAGTTGTGGTACTGTATTCTTTGTCACATCCACTGAACGAACTGCTTGCAGTCATATTCAAACCAAGAGGTTAAGCTGAAGCGCTTGTCTCTCTAGATTGTAGATTGTAGTGTCGGTTTCAGATTCACTAACGCAGTGGCTGTTTTGTTGGGAAAAGTCACAGTACACGATTGTAGGAGCTGAAGACAATTTTCTATTGGTGTTTGATAGAGATAGTGAGGTGAGCTGAGCTTGTGGTTTACAACTCTTCTCAATTTTCACTATTTTTTACCTGTCTTTTGAATTTAATCCTAATAATTTCTGCGAATAGTTTTATTAGGTCTTAGAGCTCTCCATCTTCAACTCTTGCCAGGCTATACGCTTCAGAAACACGTTTACCCAACCTTTTATACGCAACAAAGACCTCGTTTCCGAATCTTTTTGAAGTTTTGTGATACACAGATTGTCGTAGATTATCCAAATAATCTACAACCTTTAGCATTGTAGATCTACCGTGTATGTTATATTTAGCATATCTGTTAGCCTGTCGTTGACAAACCGTATTGTTCACTGACCACTCAAGCCGCCAGGTCACCCCTCCGCTGTGCTTGATAGTCTACTTGGCGGCGCCTACTTTCATGTAGGCAATCCTTCATGCTGTATGATACTATTGTTTACCAGAAGTGAGCATTCAGGTTATCCACGCCCAAAATAGTGGCATAAAAGGGCCTGAATACTCAGTTCTGGTGTTGGTTCGATTAATACCACTATCGTCAGCGGCTGTTCCGCATATTCACTGTTGATAGTCAGCGGCTGCTCCGCTACTATCGAATAAACAGTTATACAACGTAGTGGTACCAGCTTGGTGTATACCAAATTGGTGCATTCGGCCTACGGTTCACTTTCTGGCGTTTGCTACCCAGAAAGCTGATAAAGTCCCGCGTGGCAGACACTCCACTAATTAATTGAACCCTTTTGAGCTCTCTCTTCGTGAGACGACCAGAAGGTAGTAAAAGCGTTAGTTGGCAGGCTTCTTCACTGATTAATTGAACCATTCTGAGCTCTCTCTTCGTGAGACGACCAGAAGGTAGTAAAAGCATCAACCGAAGAAATTTCACTGGTCAATTGAACCTTTCTGAGCTCTCTCTTCGTGAGACGACCAGAAGGTAGTAAAAGCCCCAGCTGAATACTTCTCCACTAATTAATTGAACCCTTCTGAGCTCTCTCTTCGTGAGACGACCAGAAGGTAGTAAAAGCGTTAGTTGGCAGAAAATCACTGATTAATTGAACCCTTCTAAGCTCTCTCTTCGTGAGACGACCAGAAGGTAGTAAAAGCGTCAGCTGAGGAAACCACTGGTTAATTGAACCTTTCTGAGCTCTCTTTTCGTAAGACGACCAGAAAGTAGTAAAAGCTCCAGCTGAAGACCTTACCACTGAAATTGAACTCTTCTGAGATCTCTTCTAGTAAGACGACCAGAGGTTAGTAAAGAAAAAACAGTTGGTACACCTTTAATAGTTCACTTAAAAACTATTAAAGTCCAAGGTCTCCTCAAAATCTCACTGGGCAGGATTCAAACCTAACCAGTCAGCACAGCGTTCAAGCCCATCGGCACGCTTGCTAACCAACTAGAAGAAGCTAAGCGCTCCACTGCTAGCTCACTAGTGACTACTTTTTTTGCACACAGCAAGAAAAAATCCCACAAAGGTTCAGGCCCAGCCAACCTCACAGTTCTCGACAGCTGCGCGTACTCAGTACCCAGCCAGAACACTCTACCAAAGCCGACACCTGCAGTGCCAAAGCACGCAGACGACAAAAGCGCAAGCGATACAAGTCCATGCGCACAAGGCAGACGATGGCTGAGCTAACTCTATACAAAGCTCGCATTTCTATGGCCTGCTCATCAATCAGCGGTCTTGAGGACAAGGTCCGCAATATTGATAAGGCTTTCGAATTTCCCAACACTGCAACCGAATGCAACGCCTTCATAGCGGACAAATCAGCAGAGATTGATGAACTGCAAATTACCCTAACAGGTTTACTGGAGAACCTGGAGGCGCAAGTGCAAACTGCCATGAATTTTCTTGGCGCAAAAAAGGACCAGTCAGATAAAGACAGATTGATGAACGATTTGGCTGCCTTCCTAAGCACAGAAGCAAACCGTCTACAGCTTGAAGGCGTTCACTGGACAAATAGGCTGAAATACCGAATAAGGGAACTGGAGAAGCAATCGAATCTGATCCAAGCCCACACCCTAACGACGTCATCACGTTCTAGTTCAGGGAGAGACTCAGACACTGAGAATTACGCATCGACAAGGCAGTCTGAGAACAAAGTACGACTACCGCAGCTCGAAGTTCCCACGCTTGATGGCAGCTATAAGGAGTATCCAACTTTCTGGACGATTTTCGACTCGCTTATCCATAGCAACTCACAGCTCAGCAACACGGATAAGTTCCTATTTTTGAGGCAAGCACTGAAAGGATCAGCTGCTTCCATGCTTGGCAACATTCCAGTGATAGGAACAAATTACGACAAAGCTGTAAAACTTCTCGACAAAAGATACAACAAGTCCGGATGCATAGCTGATCTTCTCATCACAGAACTCGAAAAACTTCCGCGAGCAAAGGAAGACGCAAGTAGCTGCCGAAAAATGTTAACCGATGTGACTGAGAAGCTCACTAACATTGAGTGTGCTGGAGTCACCTTGGACAACGGGCGAATGTGGAGACGACTGATACTCTCAAAATTCCCAGCATCACTGAGCGAAAAGGTGTTCAGCAAAGAGCAAAACGAAGACAAACCGTTTTCTACCGAGGAAATACTAGAGATCGTGGAAAGTGCGGTAGCTCTCAAGGAAACAATTGCCCTTTCAACGAACACATTCCAAGCATTCGAGGAGTGCAAAATTATGGCACGCTCTGATTCCGATCAAGAAGTTGATGAAAGGCTGACCTGTGAAGACGACTCAATCGCATACAAGTCGGAACATGGCCAAAGAAGTACATCTTCAGAAGATTCGAGTGCTAAATGCATCTGCGGAAGTTATCGACATGATGCGACGCAATGCACAACATTCCAAACAGCAGCAGCGCGACGTGATGAAGCTAGAAGACAAAGACTGTGCTTCAAATGTCTTCAAACCAATCACAGGATCAGAGACTGCACAAGCTCATTGTCATGCTACAAGTGTCACGGAGACCATCACGCAGCCGTATGCATGAATGGCGAAGCAAAAGGCACACCAAACAGGCGATCGCAGCAGCGATCTGCTCGCGATCAACATCTCCCGAGAGACCCTGAATTTGCGCAAAATTCTGGAATTCTCCACAACAAGAGCACGAAGCGAGAAAGAGGAATGCAGCACGTACTGATGACGGCGACTGCACTCGCATACGACTACACATCGACCAGCTATAAGCCCGTAACTGTTTTCTTTGATGGAGGTGCACAAAAGAGCTTCATCAATGCAAAGAAGACCCAAGCTCTTGGCTTACCAGTGCTGCAAAACACCACTTTCAAGATTGGCGGCTTCGGAGGATCTACCGCACATTTCACATCCAGTGAAGTCCCGCTTACACTGAGAATAACGTCTGCTGGAGTCGCTATCAAAGCCGTGAAGATACACACAAAGTCAACCCTCACTTCCGCGATGAGTACAGCTTGGCTAAGCGCAGAGGATAGAAGGTTGATTCGAAAAAGAAAGATTCGAGTAGCACAACCGGATCTGAAGACGCGACGGTTCACACCGGACATTCTCCTTGGTCAAGATCTGATCGATCAATTCATCTTGAGGGATCGACCATGTACAATTCTTCCGTCTGGGCTTATTCTCACCCCTACTGTTTTCGGCCATGCAATCTCCGGAAGCAGTCGTATGTACGAAATCAAAACGGAGGAGTATTCGCAGAACACCGCAATCACCAGCGCCTCCTACAATCATCCAGTTAGTAAAGGAAACTCAGTGAAGCAGAAGCCAGTTAGAAGCGTCGAACAAGCTGAGCGCAAAACTTCCAAACGCCGAGCAAAGAAGCTCAGTCGTCCGTATCCGATGAATATGTTCGCACAACCTGAGAAGTCATATACGAAACACGAAAGCTGCCAACGTAACAGCGCATCTCGTGGACAACAATTCGATCGCAAATGCCGAAAACCAAGGGCTCAAGGACAATTCGTGAAGATGATTACTGATGCTCAACCGAGATGTCTCGCTTCAGCGTCGCGCCTGGCCCGAAGGCCGACCACGACATGATGGCCGACCACCTTACGAATCCCAGACGAAGACAACGAACCCGTTACAGAAATCATGTGATATACGTGACTTAGCTAATGTTGTGATGAACTTTTGTAACCTACGTGTAACTTTTGTGATTTATATTTTCTTGCTTACGCGCCTTCTGTCGCGCGCCCCACTGTCGTAGATTATCCAAATAATCTACAACCTTTAGCATTGTAGATCTACCGTGTATGTTATATTTAGCATATCTGTTAGCCTGTCGTTGACAAACCGTATTGTTCACTGACCACTCAAGCCGCCAGGTCACCCCTCCGCTGTGCTTGATAGTCTACTTGGCGGCGCCTACTTTCATGTAGGCAATCCTTCATGCTGTATGATACTATTGTTTACCAGAAGTGAGCATTCAGGTTATCCACGCCCAAAATAGTGGCATAAAAGGGCCTGAATACTCAGTTCTGGTGTTGGTTCGATTAATACCACTATCGTCAGCGGCTGTTCCGCATATTCACTGTTGATAGTCAGCGGCTGCTCCGCTACTATCGAATAAACAGTTATACAACGTAGTGGTACCAGCTTGGTGTATACCAAACAGATCACTAATCCGTAACACACCTACAAGTCATTTTGGTGTTGTGATATAGTCCCTTCATCCTGAAAGCATTCGGCTAATACGAGCTAAGGCTTTGGCCATACTTTATCCGTGTTACCCGTGTTACCGGTGTTACTAGTGTTACTCGTGTTACTCGTGTTACCCGTGTTACCCATGTTACCAGTGTTACCAGTGTTACTCGTGTTACTCATGTTACTCATGTTAATAGTGTTACTCACCAGTCAGTGATAGTGCGCTTTAAAATGAAACTGTATTGTGATCATTTCTCTATTTAACAGCAATAAAAGCGGTAACACTAGTAAACCGGTAACACGAGTAACACGGGTAACACCAGTAACACCATAACACGAGTAACACTGGTAACACGAGTAACACGGATAAAGTATGGCCAAAGCCTTAGCTAGCTTGCAAGGCTTATCAACTGCAGTGTCGGGAGCACCAGCATCTCCGCTTCCGCGCGGCCACTTCGCCTGGACTCTGCACCACTTTCGAAGATTGCTCTCTGATCATCTTTCCACCGCGAGCGTGGGAAACGCGGAGCCTCAATCGATTAGATATGATTAGAGAGCATGCTCGCGGTAGAGTGCAGTATCGGGAGTGGAGATGCTGGTGCACCCGACACTGCAATTGATAAGCACTGTTTTGTGTAGGAGGTACTCGAAAAAAAAACTAATTTTCTTAGTAAAACTTCTTGATAGTATCTCGAATCCCGGTCTATTAATATACTGTAGAACATGTAGACAGAATTTTCTTCGCAGGGAATCTGCAACCGTATTTAGGTGCATATCCTCTTGCGCATTCGGGTTACATCTGAGCATGAAGTACGTTCGGCTATTGAGCTTCTTGAGAAACGTCGTACAGAGGCTGCGTCAAGACAAGCAACACCAAATCCTGAAACAGTGAAATCGACGCCACTCAACGCTCATCGCTTGCAAAGTAAATGTTCTTTACAAAATTTGTTTATGACTATATAAGTGAATGGCTCTTATAGGTTCTGGTGCTTCTATACCAACGTCGCGGATCCATGCCCGACCACCAGCGGCGCCGGGCGGGTCACTGATTCGTTCTGTTCATACGCGGTCAATGACTGCGCGACTAGCAAATAAGCGCTCTTTCCTCCGGCCGCCTCATGCGCCACCGGCTGACAGTCCTGCATTGTCGATTTTCTCGCCTATGTGAGTAACTAATTCATCACCATAGGTACAAAGCAGTGGCGGACCGGGGGACTTGCTGAAAATTATAATAAATTAAAGTATTTACAAAAAATGCATAAAAATTTTTCGAGTAATTTTGGCTTCGTAGAAAAAAATTTTTAGGGCGTTTCCGGCATAGCGACTTTCATGCGCTAGAGTCCCCGGGCAGAAGTGCATCTGTGTGGCACGAAAATAAATATGTGTAACAGTTTCTAAAAATTTGGCTTTGCTTTTGTTCGGAAGCAAAGCAAATTGCATAAAATGTGGCACTTTTTTTTGAGTGTGTCATGCGAATCATATAACTGATTTCTTCAGGTCACTGGGAGGTCGTTCTGAAGCTGCGAGTACGGCTATATCGCAACCGGTAGCACCAGTTCATCAACGGATTACTCCAAGGTAATCTGCGTAGAGCGGTAGGAAACCTCATGTGCATTTTTATACCGTAATCTTTATCGCTTTACTACTTCACGAACTAATCTCCGAACTCTCTCTTATTGACTCAACTAGAAAGTCAGATTTGTATAAAGGGTTATCTAATTAGTGTCAAATCGTACGCATTATGGGTATAGAGGTCCGAAAGTCACTCTAGTCTATGTAATACGTCGTAGCTTACTGAGAGGGGAGGTAGGAGGGAGGGGTGATACAGAAGACATGTGATGCGATTTCGTGACCCAATATCGCGTCATTTTTATAGGCTTTTTTAGTAACACAAATCGATCATGACTAGGTATGGTCCATTTTTGAAAATCCTGGTAGTATTGAATCTTATATATAAAGCTGAATGTCTGTTTGTATGTATGTATGTATGTCTGTCTGTATGTATGTGTGTACGTATGTTCCGAATAGAAAATTCCATTTCTGAACCGATCCGGACCAAACTTGGCACACATACACTACGGGCCCCGGCGGGTGTCATAGGCTACTTTTCGTCATCGATCGATATCGATTTTATCGATTTTTATCGATTTTTTTGCTGAGTTCACCTACGGGGCTGGGAGTTGGCACAGGGGGGTAATCGAGCATGGGGATTCCGAATACAATATTGGTTTTCAGGATTATCGATTACTTTTATCGATTTTATCGATTTTTTTGCAAAGTTTGAGCTACGGGGCTGGGAGTTGGCACAGGGGGGTAATCGAGCATGGGGATTCCGAATACAATATTGGTTTTCAGGATTATCGATTACTTTTATCGATTTTATCGATTTTTTTGCAAAGTTTGAGCTACGGGGCTGGGAGTTCGCACAGGGGGGTAATCGAGCATGGGGATTCCGAATACAATATTGGTTTTCGGGATTATCGATTACTTTTATCGATTTTATCGATTTTTTGCAAAGTTGGAGCTAGGGGGCTGGGAGTTGGCACAGGGGGGTATTCGAGCATGCTGATCATCCCCAAGGGGGGTGATCAGCATGCTCGATTACACCCCTGTGCCAAATTCCAGCCCCCTAGCTCAAATTTTCAAAAAATCGATAAAATCGATAAAAGTAATGGACGATCTTGAAAACTAATATTGTATTCGGAATCCCCATGCTCGATTACCCCCTGTGCAAACTCCCAGTCCCGCAGGTCAAACTTTACAAAAAAATCGATAAAATCGATAAAAGTAATGGACGATCCTGAAAACTAATATTGTGTTCGTAATCAGCATGCTCGATTACCCCCCTGTGCAAAATCTCAGCCTCGCATGTCAAAATTTACAAAAAATCGAGAAAATCAATAAAAGTAACCGATAATTCTGAAAACTAATATTGTATTCAGAATTCCCATGCTCACTTCCCCCCCTGTGCCAACTCCTAGCCCTGTAGGTGAACTCTGCGAAAAAATCGATAAAAATCGGTAAAATCGACATCGATCGATAACGAAAAGTGGACTGTGACACCCGCCGGGGCCCGAAGTGTATGTGTGCCAAGTTTGGTCCGGATACGGCGGAGCCGGGTAAGCCAGCTAGTGTTTTATAAACAGGTATCTCTTTTATACGAAGTTGGTGAGTAGACGGTTTTAAGAGGAGGGCAATATACTTCGGATCGAATCGATAATCGACGGATGGAAGGGAACAGTCGAATGCGAATACTGGAAATGTTTGATGTATGAAATGTCTAGATTTCAAAGGATAGTTGAAAGTGGAATATCCAAGACGTTCTATTGTAGTTTCGAGTAATGTTGAAACTCGAATAATCGATGTTCATTAGTTCTACTTTGGACCGAATTGAGTCATATTTTTATAGAACAGTTGAATGCGATCATACGAAGTTCGGTTATTCAAATTTTAGAGATGCCAATCCGAGAGATCAAATTTCGCGTATAATTCGACAGCTGAATATTCGAATTTCAAATGTTTGGAAGAAGAATTTCCGAATTTTCTAAAAGTTGTCAACGGAATTATTTAATAAGGAACCTGACTAAAAGCCATTGTCCTTCAAAATTCTATCTTTCATTGCTGTCAAACAGTAAAACACAATGGGGAGGGTGCTTCACAAAATTGACGATTTTTTTTGGGAATAGGCAAATGCAAGTGGTATTTTTGGCACAGGAAGCCTTCTCATTCATTTATGATTAGCTTGAGACATAATCAGAATTTTACGGGTAAGATCTCTCCTGTAGAAAAATGTTTTTTTCTGTTCTGCAGCTGAATCTCCATCAATTTGAGATTTGTTACAATGGTGTATCCGTTGCGTAATTGATTTCAGTTTTACCCTTCTTTCTCAAATAAAATTCATCGAAAATGGCAAATTTCTTCAACCTTCGTCTGCACATCAGCTGGGCTGCTGATTGTACAAGACGACTTCACCGAAACCTTCTGAATTTTGAAGAAAAGTAGTTGTATTCAATTTTTAGATTTGCTTTAGAGTACCGTTCTAGTGACTTCGATTTTAAGATCTGTCTAGGCCTCGCAAGCTCATGGTATCGCTCAATTTTTCCTGAAGATCCAAAAAAAATGTTTTTGTAAATATTAGGTCGTTCCGGAAGTAATGTCGCTTTTTTCAAACGTATGCCACATCTCGTAGAACAAAGATATTCAAGAGATTCTGGTAGCATTTAATGCAGCATTTCATTCTCTTTCTAATGGTTATGAAGCTGTTGCAATACAGTCAATGAGCTTCCAGAAAAGAGTCGAAATCTGCGACCTATGCTTTTTGAGATGGCCAAGTTTCACAATTTTTCTAAAATTTTATAACAAATCTCAGAAGGAGCCCAAGTAATGGATGGATGGAGCAAACCCTACAGGAAACAGAACAACTTTTTTCTACTTTCCAGAGCTCGTCATAATTTTTGTACAGATTTTTTGATGGAACTACCGAATTTTAGCAGGCTCGTCTCAGATACAAATGCATCAAACACCAATAAATCTTCGGATTTTGAAACTTACAAAGATGGATTGTGGTTTGGCAACAATTTTACAAACCAAACGAGCATTCACCGCTTCGGTTTAGCCACTTTTGGAAAGTTCGGGTACACCTTGGGGTGCCCTGGAAAGTTGAATTATGATGATTTTATCCCGGAAAACTTGATGAATCAGAAACAAAAAACAACCGCTAGAAAGATGAGAAAAAGCTGCATCGAATGGCACCCGAGTCGCTTACCGGTTGTTGTTCTGTGAGGTTTGACTTGACTAAATATGGAACTTGATGGCATTGAGGAAGTGATTGTAGAAACTCTGAGAAGCAAGCTAAGGAAAAGAAAAAAATTACTCTGTGTTCTATAGTGTTTGCTCTATCTACCTGTTACTTGTACTTTTTCGGAGATTAGGTACAAAAATTTAGAAAAATAGCCGAACTTGACCATGGCAAAAAGCATAAGTCGCAGATTTTGGTCATTTTTCGAGAGCTCATTGAACTTTATGCAGTGAAAATAGAACGATTGTAAGAGGATGAAATGCTGCATCGAATGCTTCTAACAAGGGAAGTTCACTTAATCGAAGTGACGACTTGGAAGGTGATCTATACCAATTAATAGAGCTTAAAACGCTGATCTCAGATGTATCTTCTAGGTCTGCGATCCGTCGTTCTGAAAAAAGTTATGAGCTTTTCTAAAGCAAAATTTTCGTGCATTTTGAGTCGCAAAATCATGATAAGCGCTACACCAAAGTGTGCAAGCTTAAGCAAACCACCTAGTGAGCATTGCAGGTCTAATTCAAGCTTATCGGAACGTTTTCGAGCGTTTTCCAACCATGTTGTTTATCCACCGATCGTCATTTCATTCCTAGAACACACTTCCATTATGTAAACAAAAAGCCCATAACCTTCATCTAGAAGAACGCGTTGCAGATATTGAAGATATATTTGAGAACGTCGTATTACGTTCTCAAATATATCTTATCCAATGGTGGTTTCCAAAAAGTTTCCGGCGCTACGCGTTTTTCTGGATGGAGGTCATGGGACTTTTTGTTCACATAATGGAAGTGTGATCTGGGAATGAAATGACGACCGGTGGATGAACAACATGGTCGAAAAGCACTTGAAAGCGTTCGGATGTACTTGACTTAGACCTACACTGCTCACTAGGTGGTTTGCTTGAGCTTGCACACTTTTGTGTAGCGATTATCTTGATTTTGCGACTCAAAATGCATTAAAATTTGGCTTTAGGAAAGCTCATAACTTTTTTCAGAACAATGCGTCGCAGATATAGACGGTATATCTGAGATCAGGTTTTTGAGCTCTATCCATTGGTATAGATCTTCTTCCGAATCGCCACTTCGACTAAGTGAACTTCCCTTGTAAGATCTCTTGAAAACGTTGATTCCATGAATAGTGGCGTTTATTCGAAAAAAGCGACATTACTTTCGGAACGACCTAATAAAAACGCATTGATGAATAAATGCGAAAAACTCGCCTACCTCACATCTACAAATTTGCAGAGTCATCTTATTATAGTGATTTTACTGTTCGGTTTCAAATTCGTAGTTAATCAAGGGGCTAGTATATACATACCTCTGTTGATCTCAGTTCAAACTTCAACAAACCGTTCTAGATTCCAAGTATTCTGTCGCGAGTTACAACGACAACCCGATTTCGATCTTCTCCTTGCTGAGCTGTGCCTTGACCATGTCTGGACTGAGCCTACTAAGAGAGACTCAAGCGGTGAAATTGCAAACAAGGTGCTTTTTGTGCTACTGTCTCCAGCGTACAACTTGAACTATTTTTTGTAGATGTTTTTGTCACGAAATGTGTTGTCACAAGATTTTGCGAATTTCTTCATCAGCTCACTGGGACAGCTTCGTTCTATTCGTGTTGTTCATACTGTTAGCAATATAACAACTTCTGGGACGATGGTCACATTATCATGCCGCGATGCTACGGCTTTGAGGGTAGGTTTAGAATTTGGTCAACGCCATCACCTAACGTCTTGTAACTCAGGGTGGAGATATGATGGCTATACTTGGGCATGACAATTCGATTAGCTTCTACTCCGGTCACGCCAAATGTGCTGTGGCGGTCATTCCCAGGGCAAGTAAATTTTTTAGGGTGAATCGAAGTAAATTTCTAATTTCTTCCAGTTTTCTGTGATCCAGTCGATGGTGTTACATGCGGCAGACAGCTCGTCTTTTGTTATCCAAAACAGTAGCCAGCTTACAAAAATTGAGATTCCGGCAATGTTCGTGAACCCGCTGGGTGAGTCAGATTTGACGAGAACTGTTCCTCAACAACTTTAATGTTCTATGGTCGCTCTGCCATGTGCGATCTTGTTTTAGCAAACGACCTCTTTGTTGCCCTGGTGGAGGCTTTACCACGCGAAAAGGCAATGCATTTGATGTTACATTGGAAAACACATAGCAGAAGTTATGATAATGAATTGGAACTATGTGTGGCTGAACCACAACTGCATGTAGCGTTACGTTTCGTTCTGGAACAGACTGGAATCTCAATTGGTTTTCACCCCAAATTACCATGGAGAAAGGTGAGAAACTAGCAAATGTCGAAATTACTACTTACTACCAGAGATTTTGCAGCCCACCCATAAAAATGAATCATGTGAAGTTGATGCGAAACAGAGAAGACCGAAAGCATCTGCTGAAGAGGTGAGTTGCCTCGAATCAGCCCAACACATCCTCTAGATCGTAGCATGAAACTTATTATACATAAAGAACAATTTTTTTTTCTCGGTGAAATTTCATACTCTTTTCAAAGCACATAGACTAATTCCTGAAATTTTCAAAGTTTCCGAATTCTTTTTGGCAGATTTTTAGCTTGCGTTATTGAAGAACTTTAACTCTGGAACTACTTTTGTATTAGCTTTGACTCTATGAAATCCGTAAGAATCTCGAGGAGGTCAAAGGCAAAAATGAGATATTTGAGGGAGATAAATTGAAGGTCGAATTGCTGCCACAGAATTGCCTTTTCATTCAATGAAACTCATGTTCATGAAGAAATAATGCCGTGGATAGCTCTTCTCTCTGTCACATACGAGATTTTGGCTGAAGTTCGTAAACATCAAACACTCATAATGTCTTAGCAAAATATTTTTTTTATCCCACGGAATTGGCATAGTGTCAATTACGGTATAGGATGTTGAGCTTTCCAAGTTTGACAGTTCCTTCCTCCGCCGAAACATAGACCGTACTGATTGTTGACTGCTACTGACAATAAAGGAAGGAACTACCAGTCTTGGAAAGCTTAACATCATAAACCGTAATTTTTTTATCGTTTTTATATTGTAACCAAACGATATTTTGACTTACCACATGGCCCGCAATCTATGTAGTTACGAGGACCTACTCTCCATCGCCTTTAGAACTGGAATCGCTTGCTAAAATTCCGAGAAAGCACTATGATAAAGACTGCGCAAGAAGAAGCTGAGGCTGCCAAGGCACCTATTGAAGTGGATGTCACAATCGACTCTAATGCACCGCTGCATGGAAATATCTACGCAGTGGTGGGAGCCATTCACGCGATGTTCGAGGAATGGTCACTAAATTATGGATTGTTTCATTTGAAGTCGAAAATCGTCTACTATCTCCATGCACTTTCCAGGTATTCCGTATAAGAGCTGTTTCTAAAAAAGCATACTTTTATTGCTCTGGGAAAAATACTCTGTATTTGAGAAATTTTTGTCTAATTGTGAATATGAGTAAATTTGCTTACTGTAGATCCGTAAACATGTCTTGGATGCGCGCGACATCAATTTAGACATATCGATAGCGGTGGATGGGGGAGAAGAGGCAAAAATTCTTGAAATTTATGGAAGTTTAGCCTCAAAAATACATGGATGTCTAGAAATTTCCCAAACGCCATGCCCTAGCAAGTCTTTCATTGAGTTTCATCTCCTATTCGATACTTGGATCTCCTCAACATACAAGGTGTGCTCGTAATAACGTCAAGAATCTTTTCTGACGGTGATGGTTGCCTTGTAAGTGCAGATCTCGGCAATTAGTACATTGTTATCGCCCAAACAGCACAAACTAAATGAAAGCCCCCTTCCTCCCTTCCTCGCGTCCGACTGTACAAAAATTTTTATAAAGTTCAAAACACAATTCCCCACTAACAAGGGATGCATGTTTACGAATTGGCCTTTTTAGATGGAAATACCATACTAACGGGCATAAAATGCTGATTCCAAACCCGCCTTCCTTATCTGCAGAGCATTTATGGACGAGGAGTTATGAGCGTTATTGAGGCGGGAAATTTAATGTGCAAGTAGATCAAAAATACCCGTAGTACTTTTTCTAGCTCTTCAGTGAAGCAATGACAATCATCAGAGCACTTTTTCAAAAAAACACTTGAAAAATATATCACACTTAGTTCCATTATTTTAGGGCAGGTAAGATTTTAGTAACTCATTTTATCCAAAGTGCATATTCAATTTTTGGCCTCAAAAACCGCTCATAACTCCTCGTCCATAAACGCTCTGCAGATAAGGAAGACAGTTTCGGAATCAGCGTTTTATGCCGTTTGATATGGCACACATCTCATTTAGAAAAACCACTTCGACTAAACAAGCTTCCCTTGTAAGAGATAGGGAAAATGCGATGTCGAAAATCTTGTTGGACGATACTTGACTTGAGGCGTGTTTGATGATCGCACTGTTTTGCGCACTTCTCAAAGGCACATTCTGCAGCTCTGAGTACGTGAACTTTAGAATGGATGAGGCCTTAGCTTTGCAACAGCCCAAAAAGCTCATATGACCTAGTCATAGCCAAAAAATCTTTCCTGAAATCTAGTCCACACTATGCTCTCCTCGAGCCAAAATCATCGCACTCGAGTACGGTGGAATACGGCATACGCGTTCGTTGGATTGCTTGGCCGCTAATGAATCGTATCGCTGCAAATTGGGCAGTGGTGGTTTAGTAAAGTTCAGTAATGGCCTCCCAATCACTAGAGAATCCTAGGTATCCAGATTCGCCTAAACATTGTCTTCAGATCAATAAGCTGATCTGTATCGCTGCATTGCAATCAAAATGTTGTACTATTTTCTTTGAATTGATTCGAGTACTTCTTGTATTCTCGTTTTTCAGTGTACTTGGATTGACAGCATATTCTTCGCGCTATGCTGAAGAGTTCAGAGACTGTGCAAATTGTATCTATCATGTACACCGTAATGATGGCTTAGGTGGGTGATTATGAATACAAAATTTGCTTAGGTGTGGCATAAATAATCTGGCTGTAATTTAGCAACGGATGAGTTTCCATCACCTTATGCTCACCCCACTCGAAATTTCTCTGTCGATAATCCATTTTCGCTATGGCGAGCCGTGGCTGGAATTCTACAACCTCCTATGACACAATCGTTAGCTGGAAGCAGTAGCAAAGTGGCGAGAATGTTGACTGGTAAGAATGTGGACCCCTCTGTTAGGAAATCTGACCAAGCATCGTTTTAGTCCTTGGTGTGGGACAAGGAGTTGGTCGATTGAATCTCATGGCAGATGTTCATCGGCTATTGGGTAGGAACTGGGAAAGACGTCTACGCCTAGATCCATCGCAGGTTGAACGAATTGCTCAGATCATGTTCAGCACAACGACATCTGCTGCGCAAAAGTGAGATTTTTGCAACTTATAAGAGGTTACAAAACAAATTTGTCATTTTTACAGAAGTGCCAGCCTTGTGTCGGAATTTGGCTTCACTCGCTGGACTATTGAACAGCTTCCACCTTCAATAGGACTTTTTCTTGGTAGCATCATTGTTGGACATCATACATCTACCGAGCTGTTCCAGTTCAAAAGGCCACAAACAACCACGTAAGTCACAGTACGCTAACCGACTGTAAATCCTCATTAGAATAATGGAAATGATTTTTTCAATTCAAACATGAAGATTTTGAGGAGAAGGCTGTGTAAATGCAGGAGGAAGCGTTTTTTTTTTGAGGAATTGAAAGTTGTATGGGCACGAAAGGGCATTTTTGCGTAGAAGATTTTTTCAACCTCATATAATTCTTGAAAATCTGGATTCGGTGTATTTTAGATGACGTTGAGCAGTGGCAGACCCAGGATTTTGGTACGGGGGGGGGGGACAAAACTTCCTACTGGAGGTGCGTGGCGTTAGCCACGCACTCCGAAATATTTTTGGGATGCTTCTTAAAATTTTTGTGGGCCCATGACCCCAAAATATTAGAAAAAGGGGCGTGGCGGCAGCTATGCCCCCAAAAAAATTTTTTTACAAGGCTAATTTGAATTTTTAAAAGTTTTAAAAATTATTTTAATTATTCACAAGTATAAATAAGTCACTTGCACATTTTATAACCCATATAAGTAACTTTCAAAAATTTCGCGACTCATTCTCGGGGGGGGGGGGGGGCTCCTCGAACCGCCATAACGTTAGTAATGCTATCCCTCCTACTCCCTCTACAGAATCGGAACAATTTTTAAAAATGAAAATCAAAGACAGATCAGTGCAAAAAGTATAAAGTGCAAAAAAAAAATCAAAAAATCGCATCTGCGGAAATTACTGAATTTTTAAGCCTATTTAGTTTGCGACTAAATGGGGGGGGGGGGGGGTGGGAGGGTAACGTCATAATAGTATTTTCTATAGACTAGATAGAATCATGCTACCATAAACTGGGTGAAGCTGTGCTAGATGGAAGCCTCTGTAAATCTGGAAAATTTGAGAAGTTCTGCGAAGTAAAACACTGAGATGAATATTTTTCTGAAAATTTTTCTCATTGCTAAAAGTTTAAAATGCTGACGAGCAGCAACAATGATTCCGAGGTTTTTGATTAGTAATTGCCTGAGCCTGATATTTTACTGTTGCTTCTTTGCAGAACCTTCCCACAACCTGACGAAATGGCTCAAATTGCGCGTATCCGGTGGCCAAGAGATGTTCGTCGTGACAATGTTCGTGCTATGTTAGACAGTACAAAACCGGTGTTGATAGCCACACAACATCTGTAAGCTGAAGTTCAACCGATAATAAGCATTCACATCTAGCTTGATATGCTTATTTTAGAGATGCGGGTACAGACGGAGAAATCAGGGAAGCTCAGGAACAGTTCTTGTCTGCCACTTGGACGCGTTATCTTTCTCAAGCATTTGGACGCGCTTTCTTCGAATTGAGGTAACAAGCTTTTTATTCTTCGTAACAGTGTCATAAGTGCTTCTATTTTTAGGACAGTTTTACCAAATCCAACGGAACCACTTCATGTGCCGGACCTATGTTTATCGGCTAGAATCTATCCTTCCAATCTCACATACGATCTCACAGTTACCGAGGTGAACTCAGAGTCAGCGGCTCCTACACAAAAATGCATTCCACTTTATAGAATCTAAAACAGCTGAAGGAATGGGGTGAGTTTTACAATGGGGTCGCGGCTGGACTCAGAGTTGTTGGCGCTGATGTTACCAAAGTGGATCATGAATGGTTAACGTTGTGCCATGGAAACGATAAG